CACTTGGATAAAATTGTAACTCTTTGATAGAAGTATCTCAGTCTGATTTGGGGCATTTTGTAAAGTTTTTTCTTAAATTTGGCTATAAGGCAGGGCAAGCTAGTTCGGCTTGATTTGAATGTCGCCTCCATAATCATAACAGAACTCTGTCTTCTTTAGCTTATTACTTTATTTATTACATAATTTATTTATTACATAAACCAGAAATTCCCCTTTTCTTATTAAATGAGATAATATAGGTAAAGTGCTTTGTAAACCTTAAAGCCCTATACATTCTAGCTATAATTATCACTAACTTTAAGTCAATTTTAAAAGAAAAGGGGGAATGAATTCCCACATCTGGGTCGCAATAACTACCTATAAATCATCATTAGCCTGAACTAGAAATGAGATATCAGCTGGTTGATTCCCTCATATGACTCCTGAACAAGATTTGAAATACACAACGCTTTCTAAATATTATTTACAGTTTATGCAAAATGCTACAATACACTTTACAGAGCGCTATGTCATCTACTCAATGTGCATAGCTTTTATGCAGCCTTTCCCCAAAGCTCTATCCATCCTTTTGTCTTTCCATTTAAACATTTCACAGAAAATAGCCCAAATGAAAACTTTTTGGAAAAAGCCACATTAATAATTTTTGTTTCCTGTGGTGCTTTCATTAGTGTAGAAGAATTTCCATTGTGCAAACTCTCCTGATGTTGCTGGCCTGTAATTTATGTTGTGGTAGGGTATGTGACTTGCCCAGGCTTACATTGCCAGTATTGTGTTGGGGAAGGACTTGAACTCAGGTCTTCTAGACTTCAAAACCCATGCTTTACTGAACCACACTGCCTTGAATGAAAGCTTGCTGTACTATTTACATGCACTAATTTACTCTGGTCCCCATCTGTAATTTCACCAAGTAGGGTACTCCCTCTTCCAATAAAGATTGACACTTGTTTGGCAACTTATCATCTTAGACAGTTGCTTGGGGCACTAAGAAGTTAAATGACTTGCACAGGGTCACACAGCCCAATGGGCATGTATAAGGATTTGAACCTGGGTCTTCTTTCCAAAGCCAGCTCTGTAACCATTACTGTTTGCTGGCTTTCATTTACCCTTAAGAAATAGAGGTGCTTTCTGATAGCAAACAAAAATAGGTAGCTGTGATAGAACAAGGCTAATACAACATATTTTTACATGGAACCAAGTTAATTTTGAAAAGTTGGCCTGAAGCCTCCTTGAGAAATCACTTCCCTTGGGCAAATGTATATATGCAACTGTGTTCTGACTTTGATTCTGGAGGTTTTGTTCTGCATGGGTTCCAGAACAACTAAGGAGCCTCCTATTTCTAAACTTCACAGAACCAGTAGGGACATGCTAAAAGAATGGAAGTCAGGTTATGAGTCATTGCCCTGGAAGATTCTTGAAAGGGTAAAATACTTTACTGTTGGATATACTGCAACCTCAGGAGCAGAGCTTCAGGGGAAAGATGAATTAAGGATCACAAACTTTTGGATGCTTGAAGAATGGAATGACTTTCCTGGGAATATTCCCAGGAGAAGTGAGCAGTGAGACAGAGTGTGAGGGGTATCTCAAGACAGCAACTTCTTTCCCTTGGTAGTGTTCAGGTGAGGTAGGTATTCCAATATTTAGATTTCCACCTCATAGTGTTAGGTCTTGCTTAGCAGCCCTGTTGGGTAACTGTACCCCAGGAGACAAGAGTCTTGAATCTGAGTATTATAAATTATGATGTCAGTTGCATGCAAATAAGATATCAGATGGAGGCAAATGATGGGCTTTGTAATCAGGACCAGGTTTTGCAAAGAACATATCAGTAAACAGGCACTTAGATCACATTTTGGACTGAAATATTCTTTTTATCAGGAACCAGAAGAGTCTTCAGGCAAGCAGAGAGTTTATTCATTATAAAGATTATAGGTCTTTCTGGGCAAACGAGAAGTGTGCAGTGAGACTGCCCCATTCTGAATTCAGAGAAGGCTTAGCATATCATGAGGCTAAACATGGCATCCAGCTGATCTGCACTTCATTTGTAAATTCAGCCCTCCAAGGGAGGCTTTATTTCCATTGCTTGACTCTGCCCCAAGTAAGCTAAGCTTGGTGAAGTGACTTGGCTTCATTTGCCTTCCTAGAATCAGGCATCTCACATGTTAATCAGACAGAATGCTCTCTGGTGGTAAAGGCAAAAAGAAAGAAAATCGACTTTGATTTAAGTATTGTTCTGTCTGTATTCTCACTATGAAAGTGTCACATTTATTTGCTGCTGAACATTCTTCTCTAGGAATGAAATTCAGCTAGTATACTTCAGCAGGCAGTACCAGACTGTATCCGGCCTCACCTTTTATCATTGCCTCCTTCTTCCTCAACGTCTGTGGAATGTTCTGTGTTACCTCTAGAGTGGTATGTTCTGTAACCCTGACCAGTCATGAAGCTGGAAAAAGTCTAGTATGCAAAGAAGGATTTGCCTTGGTCTGCTTGGCTCCAGAGGACAGAGCTGTGAGATACCCTTGCCCCCTCCCAACTTATATCCGACTCACAAAAACCAGCACCTGTCACATAATAGGTACCTAAAAAGCTTGTTGATTGAGAAAGATTCAGGACCCATCATTATTGCTCATTGTCCCTTCTCACCAGAGTTGATATATTCCCTACATCCACACAAGTTCTCTCACCAATTCATTTATATTTTTTAATGTATCAAGCACGTAGAGTGTACAAAGTTTTGTGTTGGGTGTTGGGGATACAAAGATCCCCCAAAATTGAAGCAGCCCTAGAGGAGTCTACATTCCATTATGAAGATATACCATCTAGTCAAGTCAAGTCAATGAGCATTTATTAAACACTTACTATTTGCCAGACGCCGTGTTAAACCCTGAGAGTACAAAGGTCAAAAACATTGAAATAGACTTGGAGGAGCCTACATTCTACCAGGAAAATACAGAATATAGTCAATCCCAGTCAACAAGCATTTATTAGGTGCTTAATATTTGATAGTTGCTGTGCTAAACACTGGGGATACAAATGCAAGCAAAAAGAAGAAGTATCTGCCTTCAAAAAAACTTATTTTCTCATGGAGATAGGTAATAGGGAGAAAACAGTAACAACGCGGAGGATGGGAAAGACTGGACAAAAATATGGCACTTAAGCATTGAAGGAAATTAAGAATTCTGATCACTCAAGATGAGGGGAGAGTGCATTTCCAGTGTATGTGAATGTACAGGGAATGTGGTGATGGTAGGCAGCTACCACTTTATCTCATCACCAAGTATAGATTGGTTTAATCCAAAACACATTAGTACCCTTGCTGTCATCTGGCTCCCTTAAATGTCTAGGAGGGTGTTAATGTAACGAGCAGCTGCTTCCTTCATCTGCTGGGACAAAAGAGGACCCCAGGTGCTGTAAGGACAGGTGCTGCTTCCATCTCCACATCTGCGGGGAGCTGTTCTCCCTGGGATGTGGGCAGAGGAAAGGTTCAGGGTCAGGCAGAACTGCTTTCCTGGACACCACCAGTCTGGGAAAGCCAAGGTGACTTGAATTTGAAATTGATGAAAGGCACTCAGGCACATGGTTTTCTCTAAAAGGAAGGTGACTTTCAGTCTATGCCTTTCCCTTATTCCCACGAATAAAGAATATTCTCTTAGAAAAAAAAAATAAAAGGAGAGAGGGGAAAAAGGTAAAAGGCGAAAGAAAACTCGTTCTGTTAGCCTCGGGCAGGTTCAGTGTGTGAACCTGTTACAGCTGGCTAGGTATATGCTGCAATGGGAGTCCCTCCCTGGAATTCTGATTATAGGGCTTCTTAGAATTCATAAGTCATGTGAATTTTAGGGTTTGTAGGAATCGTATCCATCAGCTAATCCAATCCAGGGAATTTGAGGGACTCACTCAAGGTCACCCAATTGATGGGTGGCAAAGCCTCCTCTAGAAATCTTAGTATGTCTGACTTATACCTTCATTTCTGCCCCACTGCCACCTTACTTATGAAAAGATCTAACATCTTGTTAGGTCTCTGCTTTCTTCCCTGATAACTTGGCTCTGCTTTCTCTTTATGGAATCACTTTGGAGTGGAAAAGACCTGAGGTAGTATCATGGTGAAATGGTACATCCCCAATGCCCAGGGATGGCTAAAGAAGATCACTGAGTTTGTCCAGGATTTGGGACGCTCAAAGTCCTAGCCATTGGCCAACCTGAACAGTGTCTTTCTGCACCTGATCCTGTTTGTCAGCTTTTGAAGAGGCAGTGTATGGCCCTGCTCTAGCAAGGAATGATCTTTTGCCCTTCTCTGGCATTAACTCGTCTAAAGATCTCAAAGCACTTTATAATCATTATTCATCTTCACAATGTAACTAAAGATTATTATTCCTATTTCACAGATGGGCATACTGAGGTCAAGAGCAAATCTCTAATTTTACTTAAGTCACAAAAGAGGAGAGAATACTAATATCACAATCCAATGCTGATTTTCAGTTATTCTGTTTAGATCAGAGTTGGGTCAAGTAGACATGAAAATTGTACAAATGTAATCAAAAGTATCAATGTACCTTAGTCTTCATTGTTTAACTTGTAGTGGGAACCTAAACATATGGCACGTAGGTGCAATTTGATGAGTTTAAAACCCTAATACCAGGTTTAAGGTAATAAAGTTGAGAGGAGACAGCTTTCTCTCATGCATGGAAAGTTAATGCAAACCCTCTACTTGAGCAGCTTTTGTGGTTTAATTATTTGACACTGCTTAATAAGCAATTCAGAGAGTTAAGTATAGCCCATAAGCAAGCCATTTAGAGCTCTGAGTCATTTTCCTGGCAAGCCAATCAGGTCAAAGAACCAGAGTTGCAAAACAATAACTAGCCCAGCCCCAGGGACCCTGGAAATATATTACAGGTATCAGTTAGGAAAACAAAGCCTTAGTGTTTTAGCAAGCAGCAGAGCCCAGGCTGAGATTTCTAATCCAACACAATTGCTTACACTGACAATGCCCATTTTTACATTTGTTTCAGACCAAGGGACGCTCAAACCTGAGGTAAGATTAAAGTTTTTACATGCTTGCTTTCTGCATTGTTTGCTAACTTGAGCAGAAATGGTTCTTTTAAATGCAAAATGTACATTTTTTTTTCCTTTTTAAAAAAATGTGGACATAACCAGAGATAAAAGGAACAGGCAAATATATTTGGATGAGTTGCACTGGTCAGTTCATGGGGAGGGGGAATGTTACACTTATTGCCATCGTGTCTCTACTGAAATTTCTTTTCTTTTCTTTTCTGATTTTTTTTAAACAGATTAATAGAGAGATGGGAAAACCTAAGCTAATGGTTATAACATTAGCATGCCTACATTGAAGTTGAAGTGCTATTCTTAAGAATGGTTCAAAAAAACAAAGTTTAAGCAATGAGATGGCACTAATGTATGGCTGTCTACCCATCAGAAACCAGGTGGTATAAAGGATAGAGCAGTGAATTGGATGACCCTTCAATGCCATTTAATTAAATTCAACAAACATTTATTAAGTGCCTACACTAAGCAAGGTAAGAGAGGCACGTAGGCATAGAGAATCAGCTTTGGAGAAAAGACTGGAATTTAAGGTTCACCTATGACACATTGTCTAGGTGACCCTGGATATGTCCCTTTAACCATTCAATGCCCCTAGGCAATTTTCTAAGATGGCATTTTTGCAGAAATGACTGATGTCAATTGGTGAGGAGAGTTTCTTCACCAGCAATTCTGAACCTGTGGTCAGAGGATCCTCAGAGACACTTTCAGGGAGTACTTGAGGTCAAAACTATTTTCATAATAATAAGACATTTTAATTTTGAATATGGTGACTGTTGATAGATAAAATTCACATTAACAGAAGCTCTTCTGGGGGGGGTCTTTAGTAATGTTTAAGAATGTGAAAGGGTCTGGAGACTGAAAAGATTGAGAACCACTGCTCTACACCAATGAAATCACAGATATGACCCACCCCCAGGGCTCCCCCTCCCTGCAAAAAAAAAGAGAAAATATGAGGTACTGAGCTAGTTACTGTTGATGCAGAAGAAAAAAAATAAAACCATTCTTTCCTTTAAAGAGCTTGCGTTGGTTCTCTGGCTCTCCCCAAGGGGCATCTAAATAATTTCCATAAAATCTTGGGCAAGCTGCTTTCACCTGTCTGGACCTCAGTTTCCTCATTTGCACACTGAAACAGCTGGACTAAATGATTGCTGACATTACATTCCAAGTCGATTGATTCCCTTTCTCAAAATGTATCTACTACAAACAAAATTTGACAGGGTACTAAGTTTTACAAAAATTACCTTGGGGAAAGTCATTCTCCTATTAAAATCCACTAACCCTGCCCTCCCCAGAACAAACAAATCCCAGTCCTAGAAGGGTTATTATTAACCCTATTATTCAGTAGGTAGACAGTACACATAGTAGGAGGTTTATGGCCATGGACGAGGCTACTGTCTGGAAGCAGGTAGGTGGTTGTTATATTGTGGCAAACCACTTGTGAGTATTGAAAGGCCTGTCTGTTTGTGTGTCTAGGGATCTAGTTTCATGCTGCTGGTGTTTTTCCATTTAAACACACAAAGAGATTAATTATCGTGTCTCAGTGACCTTGACTACATCATCTTGTGATCTATTAAAACTACACAAACTTTATACATGGGCAAACTTTCTCTTTAAGAAGGTTCCTTTTCATGAGTCACTTGATTTAAGGCAGTGTCTTCTAATTTCTGATGCTAGTTTGAAATAGAATGCTCTGATCATGCTCAAGTTTATGTAAACACAACAAAAGTCATTGGGAAATGGAGCAGGTAGGTGTTCAGAGCACCTCCACATGAGCCATGGTCTTTGGCCAAAAGCCCTAAAGCCCTGATCTCACTCCAGGTATAAAGAGTATAATGACAATAGAAAACAAAACAAAATAAAATAACAACAATTAAAAACACAGACAAAACTAATTGTAATACTAATAGTGAAAGTGAAATTTAAAATGGGAGTAGATAGGGGAAATCTTAAAGTCAATGTTCTTCTTAGCCAAGCTAATAATAACAATAACATAACAATAACAATAATAATATGATGATAGATAGCATTTATGAAGTGTTTTAGAGTTTGCAAAGTGCTTTGTATATGTGTTGTTTGATCTTCAAAACAATTCTGGAAGGTAGGTGCTATTGTTTTACAGATGAAGAAAGTAAGTCAGTAAGAGATTAAGTGACTTGTCTAGGGCCACACAGCTATTCCATATCTGCCACAGGTTTCAAACCCAGATTTTCCTTGCTCCAAGTCTAGTGTTCAATCCATTGTACCACCTAGATGCATATGAATACATACCATACGTATGCAAGTAACCTGTTTGTAAAGAACTGTGGTCTTTATTGGCATCTGAGAGTCTAAATGGTATTAGAGGATCTCAGAGCTAAGCATATGAGTCATCCAGTCCAACTCCTTCATCTATAGATAAAGAAACTGAGGCCAAGAAAAGTTTATGTGCCTTTCCTATGGTCACAAGGACATGCAAATCTGAATACATTTCATAATTGATGTTATAGCAACGTGCTCTCAGGGAGGTGGCATTTGGACAGATTGTCAAATTACATATTTTATCTGAATTTTGAAAAGTCTAGCAAGAAGACTGAAAGGGATATTGGTAGAAGGAGCCTTATACTTTTACCTTGGCACCAACTGGCATAGGCTCCTTTCACTGTTGATAGGAGTTGCACCCTCTTACCAAATGTGGAGCCATTCTTCTCTCTCAAGAGTTAGAGTGGCCCAGTAAGGTGATAATTGTTCTATTCAAAACTCAGATTGAATGCAGTATTCTGTAGGAGGGCTTTAATGGTGCTCCTAGTTGCTAAGCCTTCTCCTCTAAGACTACTTTCCCACTTTATGTACATATGGAATGAATATAAGGTAGACTAGTGCTGTATAGGGCAGCAAGGTGGCAGAGTGGATAGAGAACTGGGCTTGGAATCAGGAAGACCTCTCTTCATAAGTTCAAATCTGGCCTCAGATGCTTACTATCTGTGTGACCCTAGGCAAGTCACTTAACTCTACCTCAGTTCCTCATTTGTAAAATGTGCTGGATAAGGAAATGGCAAATCACTCCAATATCTTTGCCAAGAAAGCCCCCAAATGGGGTCACAAAGAGTGCACACGACTGAAAAAAATGACTCAACAACAACCAATGTGTTGTCTCCATTAGAATGGAAGGTCCTGGAGGGCAGAGGCTGTTTTTTGTTTTGTTTTGTTTTTGTAACTTAGCACCGAGTCTGGCAAAAAGTAAGCCCTTAATAAATACTCTTCTGAAGCTTGAATTATTATTGCCTAGGTGGCTGATACTGAAAGCTAGGTGGCAGATACTGAAAGCTCCAGCCCACTGTCCCACTGAGAGAGAACTTGAACTCAAAAAATCTCCTAGAAAATGTTGATGTTGCCCTTATCCCAAAATGAGTACATTGAACTTTCTGTCTAAAATAATGCTTGTTATCTTACAACAGTTAATCTGCAAATTTCTTTGGTATTTCTCCAATGAGGAATATTTTTAGGCTGATTATATAATCTCTAAAGAAATGTAATGATTTTGGTCAAGGCTGCCAGGAATGAGACATCAAGAGATGAAGATGATATAGTAGGGTTTTGATGCACTCTATTAATTTTTCACCAAATCTCTATTGAGTTAAGTTTTCCTGGTTGTGTTTCTTCTGGTAGGGCTATCTACCTTGTCTCTATGTCATATACCAGGTATTTGACCTTTGAGATTTTTTCTTAAAAGAAAGTCTGTTTTTTATTCTAATTAAGTGATTAAAAATAGGTGGATCTATGTCAAAAAATGTGGAATTAAGCAATTAATAATTTTCACAAGATTTTAAAATTCTCTCCAGTATATTTCTACACTTCCCTCCCCACCCTGTCCCAAATGCCCATCCTCTCATCACAGGAATGAGAGCGGGGCCAAAAAGGAAGCACAGTTGGTTCTACAGCAGCCATATAGGTTCATCTCAGGACCCTCCTAAGGTTCTCATGATTCTACTCTAAGGGTAACTGGGAATTAGATGATATTTCTATACTATTGTCATCACACAATTTCTAGGCTCCATAAACTGGAGTAACATATTCATAGTTATAATTATAACAATAATAACAGTAGCTGACATTTGCATAATACTTCGTAGTTTCCAAAGCATTTTGCATACATTAATTACCTAATTTGAACCTCACAGTATCCCTTTGAGGCAAGTACCACTCCCATAAAAAATGCACCCATTTTATAGATGAGGATACATGAGGTTAAGCAACTTTTCAGTGACCACACCACGAGTAAATATCAGAAGTGGGATTTGACCCCCAGTCTTCCCGACTCCAAGTACACCTTTTCTAGTTATCACTATTTCTAGACTCATAGATTTATAGACAAAGAAAAAGAAGCCCAGGGAACTTCAGTGACTTGTCTAATGTCACACAGTTAGTAGAAGTAGGATTCAAACCCAGGTCCTCTGCTTACAGATATAGCATACTTTCTACTGTACTTCATAAGACAGCTTAATTCAGTTCAAATAATTTGTCAGGTGCCTATCATGTGCCAGAAACTAAATAAGTTAATGCCTTTTACTACTCCAAAAATCCTTTCTTCTAACTAGAAAGTTACTGCCACTCTGTTGCTTTTACTAATGAAACAAAAAACCGAACCAAAACAAAACAAAACAAAAAAAAATCTGAAGTTGTTGACCTTCCTCTTCCCCACTTCTCTTAAAAATGAAGGCTAAAAATTGTAGTCAGAAAGCTAAATGTGTTAGTCTTGGGGCTTGCTCATGAGTATAAACATGTCCTGAATTTAATAACCTACAACGTATTTAATGGCTGTTAAATCTGACAGTCATAAACTAGCTAGTTGTGGAGGCAATTTGCTTTCTGGAAAGGCAGAGTTTTGAAGGAACACTCCATGTTCCTATGAAAATTGGATCCCGAGAGTCTGGGGGTGGATAGATGAAATCTGACTAAATCATTACTGAAAATTGATCTACTTTTGGGATGAAT